AAACAACTCCATTTACAACAGCATCAAAAAGACTAAAACATTAACAAATAAACTTCAAGAACAAAATATATGCTCTGAAAACCACAAAAGATTGTTGAAAGAAAAACAAAGATCTAAATAAATGGAAAAGCATCTCATGTTAACAAATTGGAAGACTTACTGTTGTAAGATGGCCAGGCTACCTAAAGCCATCTACAGATCACCACAATCCCTACCACAATCTCAGCTGGCTTCTTTGTAGACATTGGCAAGCTGATTCTAAAATTCATATGGAATTATAAGGGGCTCCAAATAACTAAAACAACCTTGAAAAAGTAGAACAAAGTTGTAGAACTTATACTTCCCAATTTCAAAACGTACTAAAAATGAACAGTAATCAAGATAGGGTATGAGCTTGAGTAGAGACATACAGATCAATGGAACACAAGGGTGCCAAGAGTATTCAATGGGGAAAAAATAATCTTCAACATGTGATACCGGGACAACTGGATAGCACATGCAAAGAATGATATTGGATCTCTTCCTCAAATCATACAAAAATTAACCCAAAATGGGTCAAAGAACTTAACATAAGTGGTAAAACTATAAAACTGTTAGAATAAAACAGGGAAAAATATTCATGACCTTGGATTTAGTGATGAATTCTTAGATATGACAACCAAAAGTATGAACAAAAGAAAAAAATAAACTGCACCTCATTAAAATAAAAAACATTTTTGCATCAAAGGACATAATAAAAAAAGCAAAAAGACAACTGACAGGATGGAAGGACATATTTGCAAATCATATATCTGATAAGGGATACTATCTACAATATATAGAATTCTTACAACTCGACAAGAAGACATAATATAATTAAAAAGTGGCTATGGATTTGAAAAGATTTCTCGAAAGAAAATATGTAAATGGACAGCAAGCACATGAAACATGTTCTTAGTCTTCAGGGAAATGCAATTCCAAACCACAATGAGATGCCACTTCACACACACTAGGATGGCTAGACTCTGAAGGACAAATAACAAGTGTTGTCAAAGATATGAAAAAGTGGGGCTGACCGCCACTGCTGGTGGGAATGTAAGTCGCCATGTGACCCTACAGTGTCACTCCTATGTATACGGCCAAGGAAAGTAAAAAAACGTCCACACGGGCCGGCCGAGTGGCGCGATGGTTAAGAACTCGCTTGGGATGCCAGAGGGCCCCAGTTCGGATCCCACATATGAGGGCCAGTGACGCTGCCCTCCACAGCTAAGATGCTGAACAACAGCTCGACCTGGAGCTGGGCTGCCATGAGTCGCCGGCGACGGCGTGGGCTGCAG